ATGGACAGTTGGGCAAAGACAGGAGTGAACTGCCATCTGCTACAGATAAAAGCTCTCAGTTCTTAGAGAAAGCACCATCTATTCACAACAGTACCATAGCACTCCTAGCTAAGATTCCTGACAGAAGAATTCACAGAGAAAGTGTTCCTGACAGAACATTCAACGGAGAAAGTACAGTACATTCTGGTAGACATGTAACCTGCCTGTAATTTCGAGAGACTAAATTCAATTTTTTTTATTTTATATAAGTGGGTCGTGTATTTATTGGAACAGCATACTATTAGAACCTTGTTTATTAGGGAATAGTTAGTAGTTAGAAGGAGTTTATTTGGTTTGTTAATAGGGGTTTGTTAATAGTTTAGGTAATGTGTTCGCTGTTAGAGTTGGATAAATGAATTGTTATTTGTTGATTGTAAAGTGAGTGTCAGGGACTTGTTTTATTTAACCACTAGAAGTTGCTGAGAATCAGGTTACACCACTTTTCACACTCCTTTTTTAACAGATTATAAGGTGAGACGCTCCTCTCTGGGTGTTTCGGTTTTAGCTGTCGGGGGTTGGGGGTGGGGGGCAGTTGGGTCAACCTCCGCTTTAAAACACATCTAAGGTTGTAACTCATGGTTCTCTGCAAAAATACATCCCTGTAAGGAGGAAAGATTCTCAGAGAGGGATAAAGCAACCATGGCTAACCAAGGATGGTAAAGAGAGTATGAAGTTGAAAGAAAAAACATATAAGGAGGCCAAAGTCAGTGACAGCCCTGAAGACTGGGATAATTTCAGAATTCAGCAAACGAGGACTAAAAAGATAATAAAGACTGAGGAATATTAAAGCTGGCCATAAGAGCTTTTTAAAAATATAAATAGCAAAAGAGAGGTCAAAGTGAATATCTGCCCCCTAGAAAATGAACCTGGGGAGATGTTTCTGGGAACAAGAAAATGGCAGAGGGGTTAACCAGATATTTTGCATCAGTCTTTATGGGAGAAGATACTTCAAACAATCCACTAATACTGAAAAATACAGGGAGGAATTAAATACCATCAATATCAGTAAAGATGGAGTATTAGACAAACTAATTAGGCTAAAGGCAGGTACATCCCCTGGCCCTGATGGCTTGTATTCTAGGATCTCAAAAGAGGTAGCTACAGAGATAGTGGATGCATTGGTCATAATTTTCCAAAAATCTGGAAAAGCACCAGAGGATTGGAAAACTGCTAACATGACAACTATATTCAAAAAGGGAGGGATGCTAAAAGCAGGTAACTCTAGGCCGATTACCCTAACATCCATTGTTGGAAAAGTATTGGAAGCAATCATTAAGGAAGTAATAGAAAAATATTTGGAAAATCATAATCTAATTAAGCAGAGTCAGTATGGTTTCATGAAATTGTATCTGACTAATTAATTAAAGTCTTTGAAGGAAGTCTCAACCAGAATGGACAGGGAGGAACCAGTAGATGTGTTGTACTTGGGCTTCCAGAACGCATTCAACATAATATCTTAACCGTTAAGTAATAAGGCAGTCCACATTGCTGGAGGTAGTCTATTACAGTGGATAGAGAACTGGCTAATGGGCAGGAAACAGTTAGTTGGGATAAGGGATTCTTTTTCAGGTTGGTGGGGTTCCACAAGGCTCAATGTTGGGATCACAACTGTTTACAAAATATGTTAATAATTTGGAAGAAGGAAGCAGATATACTGTAGCCAAATTTGCAGACAACACGAAACAAATCGAAAGGCAGGTTGAGAGAGGGATACAAACAGTTTACAGAGAGATATTAATAGGTTAAGTAAGTGGGCAACACGTTGACAAGTGCAGTATAATATGGGGAAAATGCAAAGTTGTTCATTTTGGAAGGGAGAACAAAAGAACAGAATATTATTTAAATGGAGAAAAACTGCAGAAAACTACCACACAAAGAGACTTAGAGGGACTTGTGCACAAAACACAGAAGCTAGCACACAAGTGCAGTGGGTAATCAGGAAGGCTAATGGAATATTGGACCTTACTTCAAGGAGGTTGGAGTACAAGAATAGGGAGGTCTTACAGCAACTGTACAAGGTGTTGTTGAGATCGCTACAGGAGTACAGTGAGCAGTTTGGTTGTCTGTTTGAGGAAATATCTCATTTCATCGTAGACAGTTTAAAAAAGGTTCACTAGGATGATTCTTGGTATGGAGGGATTGTCTTATGAGCAAAGGTTAAACAGTTTGGTACTCTGCTAATTGGAATTTAGAAGAATGAGAGGTTACCTCATTAAAACGTACAATTTTTTTAAGGGGCTTGACAGGGTAAATGCTGAGATGATGTTTCCCTTTATGGGAAGAGTCTAGGACCAGAGGTGTAATCTCAGAATAGAGGAGCACCAATTTAAGACTGAAATGAAGAGGAGTTTTTACCCTCAGACGGTTGTCTTTGGAACACCCTCCACAGACAGCTGTGGGGCAGAGTCCTTGTGTAAATTTAAAACTGAGACAGATAATTCTTGATCTTTAGGGGAATCAAAGGGCAGAAAAGAAATGTCAGGTCAGCCATGATCCTATTGAATGGCAGAGCAGGCTTGAGGAGCTAAACAGCCTACTCCTGCTCCTATTTCTTATGGTCTTAATGCCAACAGTGTAGGTTAAATGTCCCTTCTAGCTCTTGGATCTTGCCCCCTTGCTTGCTCCATGCTACATCACCAATTGTCTTTCACTCTTTGTCTGATAGATATGGCCCCGCAAGGCTAAATACATACCCACTTATATACATAGATAGTGAACCCTGCATAGATCACAGAATCCCTACAGTGTGGAAACAGGCCCTTTGGCCCAAAAAGTCCACACCGACCCTCAGACCATCCCACCCAGACCCACGCCCTATAACCCACCTAATCTACACATCTCTGAACACTACGAGCAATTTAGCATGGCCAATCCACCTAGCCTTCACATCTTTGGACTGTGGGAGGAAATCCACGCAGACATGGGGAGAATGTACAAATTCCACACAGTCATCCAAGGGTGGAATTGAACCCAGGTCCCTGGCACTGTGAGGCAGCAGTGCTAACCACTGAGCCACTGCCCTCTCATCACAACAATAACTTCAGCTGAAATGGCACATTTTAACGGAGAAGATAAACTCAAGGAACTTAGCAGAGTCACAGGAACCATTGAGGCCAAGCTTAATTCGGAAAGCTGGGGGTAGGTTTTAGGGATAGATATTTTAGAAGGAGAGGCAGACAAGAGCTGGAGGGGATTCCCAGAAGTTGGACGTGGGTGCCTCCAAGAATGCAGCATTCTTTTTGGACTACACTGGTGCGTCAGCTTAGATTTTATGCCAAAGGCCTAGCTGGCAAGGGATTCAATGCACAACCTTCTGACTCAGAGGTAAGAGTGTTATACCCATTAAGCCACATTACTAATCACTTAATGGACATTAATTAAGTCTAATGCAGGTAATAGCATTGCAGCACAAGATACCTTAGATTCAATGTGTTCTTTAACATTTTGTTGCAGATTTGCCGATCTATACTAACGGACATTGGGATCTTTGTGACATTGGCATGTGTTGCCATCACATTATTTGCGGCGGCAATCTGTTCAGAGAAAAAGCCAGTCATATTCTGGTGTCTGTTGCTGGTGGAGCTGTCTGCCCTGGCAGGTTTCGATGTATCTAGACATGTAGTCGGATGCAGGGTGAGATCATCGAATTTACAGAGAGCAGAAGTTACACACTGAGCCAAGGTTACAGAATACCCAATGGTTAGATTGCTGGCCGGAATCCAGAGTTATCATCATCTGGTTGGGCTTGGGAAGATACAAAATTTATATAAAATACAAAGCCCTGCTGGTCCATCAAGCCTATGACAACACCATTACAAAATACTTCCTCTTTCCTATCTCCCTTCCTTCCCTGCCAAGTAATCTGCTGGGAATAGGGACCCTGCTGGATGCAACCCTGGGAAAAAATCGTAGGCACATTGAAAAAAAATTGTGTTTCTTTGTTATAGCAAGAAGGATCCCGACCCAAAACATCAACTTTCCTACTCCTCTGCTGCTGCCTAGTCTGCTGTGTTCCTCCAGCTCCACACTGTGTTATCTGTGTTTCTTTGTTGTTTGCTTTGAACATTTCCCTCTACCAATTATGAAGTACTGAAATCAGAGAGCCAAAGACTTTCTTGGCCATTGATCGAGCATCATCCAAATAGATGATGGGCCTTTTTGCTTTCCAATTGGCAGAAGAAGACAGCACGGGGCAATTTACATCCAGGAATACGCTTTATCACCTAGGAGCAGCAAAAAAAAAGTAATCAGGGGAGCAAAAGAAAAATATATTGGAAAATTTCTCTCCAACACCCTCAGGCAATCAAAACCAGTCCAGATCACGGGAACCAAAAGTGACTTCTAAAGATAGTATACTTACCTTCTATCTCATATGTTCTTATTGTGTAATGTAATGCTTCCCAAACTATTTTCTGATGTGGCCCCATTTTCATGCCTCAGATTTTGTATGACCCCCCTCAGGTGAAAATTTGGCAGGTATGGAATTATATAAATTATTGGGCAGGGGGAGAGGGGTTGGCCCCATTTGCCCCTCCATCTGTTTGCCACCCCTTCATCCCTACAACTTTCACCGCAAAAGCCCACTTTACCCCACATTTATTACTCCAATCACCACCCTCCCCTCATCTCCTGATCATGGGGCAGCTGAATGAAAAGATGGGCAAAAATGAACACCTAGCTTTTCACACAGCAGAAATCCGGCCTCACTGAGCATTCATTTAAGTTACATGGTCCTGCAGAAAAATGGTGAGATTTTATAGGGGTCACGCAGTCATCAAGCATCAATCTGAGTTTTACAGCAGCCATTGCTGCTTCCAGGCTCAGAAACCCAAAGTCTTGTTTTACGACCCTATTGGGTATAATGGCTTACATTCATATGAAATGACAACATAATTTTTCCAAAATAAAAATATTCCCTTAATTTAATATTTTTTATCATTGTATTGCAGAATCATTTTGAAGATACTAAATCGATAATAACAATCACATGTTTAATTATCTCGGAGGTGTCTCTCATGGTCATGATCTTCATTTTTACACATTGTTCCTTGGCAAAGACATGTGTTAGCAATTCTCACATTCACCTGTGCCTGACCTTGTTCTTAGCAAACATGCTGTTCATAACTCAAAGTGACAGAAGTTGTAACAAGGTAAGACAAAACCTCCACTCCAAAGGGCAACATAGTTACACTTATACTCCGGATCTAAATGAATTAAACAGTAAAAAGCCTAATTGCTGGTTGGTGTCTGCTAACATAACAGATGAGAGAACAGATAAGAATCAGTTAAATATTAATGCATTTATTGTAACACAGCCTCATTTCAAACTAAATGGAACACATTCCAAATAAAAACCAAAAGAACTAAGGATGCTGTAAATCAGAAACAATAACCAAAATTGCTGGAAAAGTTCAGCAGATCTGGCAGCATCTGTAAAGAGAAACCAGAGTTAACATTTCAGAACTGAGGAAGGGTCACCAGATCGAAACGTTAACTCTGATTGGAACATATTCCAAACTTTGCCTGTGAAAAAAGACTGATATCACTGATTAACATCTAGAAACACAAATGTTTGCAACAGAAGAGGAGGCCACTTGGTCCCTTATTTCTGAAATGGTTCACAGCTCAAGCAATTTAACACAAAATTCATTGCCCTGCCCTCTTTACCACAGTCCTGTAGCTCCTTCTGCTTCAAATTACTATCCCATTATCACTTCTCACCATTTCGGTAACAAGCTTCCTTTCTATTCTTCTTTCCAAAATGGATAATTTCACATTTATCCACATTATACTCTGTCACATCTCTGCCCACTTACGTAACCTTTCTATATCTTCTGTAACCACCTTGTGTCCTTTTGACAACTTACTTAATTATTTACTTAGTTATCATGCCATCAGCAAAGTTAGCAACCACATCTACCATCCCTTCATCCAAGTCATTTCTATGAATTGTAAACAGTTGAGGACCAGCACACAGCCCTGTTGCACAATATTCTTCAAATTTTGCCAAACTTAAATGATCCATTACTTCAAATCTTTGTTCCCCTTCATTAGCCAATCTCCCATCCAATCCAATATACCCTTTACACCATAAGCTTTTATTTTCCGTAATAAGCTTTGATGTGGCACCTTATCAAGTACATTCTAGAAACCTGACTGTGGCACATCCACTTGTTCCCCTTTATCCAAAGCACGTGTTACCTCCTCAAAGGACTCCAGTAGATCGATCAAACCCAGCTCATGTTTCAATTTGAAACTGCATTTCTAGCATGTTCTGTTTTGATGTTACAGAATTAAAACTATTATTTCCATGTTGCATTTGTGGGATCTTGCTGGGTGAAAATTAGCTGCTGTTTCCTCCAACACTGTCAAACCTTGAAAAAGAATCTCTGGCTGTAAAACACTTTAAGGTTGGTTTGAGTTTGTAAAAGCTCTACTGAATTACACTATTATGTTAAAAATCTCTGCTATGTCACTACTTAGTCTTCTGTACACCAGGTAAATTAGTTCTCACATTTAAAGCTGCTCCTTATAACTATACTTTCCCATTTCGAGCATCATCATTCATTGTACCAAATAGAATAAATTCGTTATAAGTCAAATTGCAGGTGTCCATCCAATTGCAGGTGTGTTATATGGAGCATTGAGATGGCTGACAAGCCCCTTAAGCAACTCGATTTGCTTGCAAATGGTTTCAATACAAAAAAAAATAATGTAGCAAATATCCTATGATCTCATTGAATGGCAGAAGGGGTTATTGGCCTTCTCTTCTACATCTTAAGGCCACATGTTAAAAAATTATTTTTCAATTTGTTCACATCTTTCTTTGGCTTAATTTTGTACAGTAAAAAAACTGAAAAACGTTGGGATGTAGCTCTGAAAATGATCAGAAATCTTTTGGCTTCGTATGAGTCTACTTTGTCATCAATGCAGTCAAATGTTCTCTATGCTTTTGCACCACAGTGTGAAATCTTTTGGCCTTTGTGTCTTCAGCAAGGGAAATAGGTGGGTGACAGGGTAGGCATTCAGGGTCACCAGGTCTTCCACTAATGCATTTTGCCCTGATCCATGCCTCAAAGACGGTTTTGTGGGCTTCATACTGCCTGAATAGTGCCTTATATTTGCAAACCAACAATGACTTCTTGGATCAGAGATAGTAGGAACTGCAGATGCTGGAGAATCCGAGACAACAAGGTGCAGGGCTGGATGAACACAGCAGGCCAAGCAGCATCATAGGAGCAGAGAGGCTGACGTTTCGGGCCTAGACCCTTCATCAGAAAAGGGGGAGGGGAAGGGGGTTTTGAAATAAATAGGGAGAGAGTGGGAGGCGGATAGAAGAGGGATAGAGGAGAGGATAGGTGGAGAGGAAACAAACAGGTCGAAGAGGCGGGGATGGGGCCAGGAAAGGTGAGTGTAGGTAGGGAGTTAGGAAGGGGATAGGTCAGTCCAGGGAGGACGGACAGGTCAAGGGGGCGGGATGAGGTTGGTCGGTAGGAGATGGAGGTGCGGCTTGAGGTGGGAGGAGGGGATAGGTGGGAGGAAGAACAGGTTAGGGAGGCAGGGACGAGCTGGACTGGTTTTGGGATGCGGTAGGGGGAGGGGAGATTTTGAAACTTGTGAAATCCACATTGATACCATTGGGCTGCAGGGTTCCCAAGCGGAATATGAGTTGCTGTTCCTGCAACCTTCGGGTGGCATCGTTGTGGCACTGCAGGAGGCCCAGGACGGACATGTCGTCTGAGGAATGGGAGGGGGAGTTGAAATGGTTCGCGACTGGGAGGTGCAGTTGTTTGTTGCGAACCGAGTGTAGGTGTTCTGCAAAGCGGTCCCCGAGTCTCCGCTTGGTTTCCCCGATGTAGAGGAAGCCACACCGGGTGCAGCGGATGCAGTATACCACATTGGCAGATGTGCAGGTGAACATCTGCTTGATGTGGAAAGTCTTCTTGGGGCCTGGGATGGCGGTGAGGGAGGAGGTATGGGGGCAGGTGTAGCACTTCCTGCGGTTGCAGGGAAAAGTGCCGGGTGTGGTGGAGCTGGAGGGGAGTGTGGAGCGGACAAGGGAGTCACGGAGAGAGTTGTCCCTCCGGAAAGCAGATAAGGGTGGGGAGGGAAAGATGTCTTTGGTGGTGGGGTCGGATTGCAGACGGCGGAAGTGTCGGAGGATGACTTCTTGGACTTTCTTATCACTGGAAACAGCAGTTTTTCAGCGCCATCCATATTGATGCAGACCATAACAGTGACATGCTCTGCGCTTCATTTTCCACCATTACACTCTTCAATCTCAAACAGCAATATGGGAAAAGACAGGAAAATTGTCCAGTTTTAGCTGTGGCAAAATGTCTATTGCTGCGTACTGTTCAGGATGTAGGCTTGCCATGTCTTCATGGTTTAGCCTGGGCTGGCTCCACTGCAATTAGTGATGCAGTCTTACGGCAAGTGTGTATGACTTCAGGTAACTCAGAGTTACAAGTTGGTACTTTTGCTTATTGCAGATACCCTTCCATTGGATTTCCTTTTCTGTCAGTGGAAATGGCTGACAACTTCATCAAAACCAAAGTTTGGTGTTATCTGAATTTGTCTCATCATGATTTCACTGTTAGCAAAAAAGTCAAATAATCTACTAACGTGGCTCTGACATATCAACTCATATCTTCCCTTAATTTTTAGACTGTGTGTGCAATCACAGCTGTCTGGTTACATTACCTCTATTTGACGGTGTTCGCCTGGATGTTTATGGAAGGACTACAACTTTACCTTATGTCAATTAACCTGCGGAACATGAGGGTTTCCAGTTCTACCATCGTGCAAAAATTCAAGATTCCATTTTGCTATTTATCCCCCATTGTGATAGTGGTGATAGCTGCAGCAATACATCCAAGTGCATATGTGTCACATAAATAGTGAGTATTGGATTACATTATTCTATTTCCACCCACCTGCCTTTCCGAGGACTTTACCTTGAAAATCATGTCATAGTTTTTGTACAATAATTGCCTGCCATTCTTATCCATTGCCAAGATCTTCCATCGTTTCTCCTCTCTTTTTCTGAACTAGCAGCAGATTATTCTGGTCTTAGTCATGTTGCCTTTGGAAGTTTGCTATGCTGTGCAAACTGGCTGACCTATTTCCTACATTAAAACTATATGTCAAGAGAACATCATTTCTTCGAAAGCACTTTAGGATGTCCTGACGTTGTGAAAGGTTCTGTACCATTTTAAATTATTTTCTTTCAAAAATGCTTCCAAAACCATCAGGAGAAAGGATGTGCATTTGTGTCAATAATTAACAAGAGTTTCTTGAACTCTGTCACAGAAGGAAGAAAATCAAGATTTTCCTAAAACTTGATGCATGCAAAATAAAACCACAGCAAATAAACTTGAGAAATGCCTTGATCCTCCACAACAAGCTCCCCTTGTGGCTAAATGGTTAAATGCAGCAAGAAATGCGATCCTAAAATGTGCAGACTGCAGAAATTATAATTATCTCAATGATTCAATTTATGTGGCGAGCTCACTGCCCGGCCTCAGTGCTCGTGGAAAGACAGCTGTGAAATTAATTCCGAGTTCTGGTTTTTACCTTCTCTCTAGTGGCCCTTGTTAGGAAATGTTCACCTGTCGATAAAACATGGAATCAATACATTGTTCAGACAAAAGGTCAAATGATCAAGAGCTCTATTCCACTCAACTGTCTGGGCGAGGCTTGAAAAATGACTGAGGGAGAACTCTGTGCCAGGAAGAGCCTTCACCGTTGGAAAGTTAGGGGGTGAAAGAGCGTAGGAATCTTTCCTAAGATTGTTATTGAAAATAATTAAAGAAATATTCCATCCTAATGCTTAGTTAGCTGTTTGTTTATGAAATCTAATTGAATGCAAATACACCACTGCATTGGAACTAAAAGCATTGGAATCACTGAGCTTGTAATTACTGAACAATTTGGCATATAAAAAGCTCATTTGATCTACTGTGCTTGCGCCGCCTCTAAGAAAAATTATTGGATGGCACAGTGGCTCAGTAGTTAGCATTGCTGCCTCACAGTGCCAGGGACCCTGGTTCAATTCCACCCTCGGGTGACTGTCTGTGTAGAGTTTGTACATTCTCCCCGTGTCTGCGTGGGTTTCCTCCCACCATCCAAAGATGTGCAGGGTAGGTGAATTGGTCATGCTAAATTTTCCATAGAGTCCAGGGATGTTTAGGTTAGGTGGGTTAGACATGGGGAAATGCAGGGGTAGGGGAATGAGTCAGGGTGGGATGCTTTTCACAGGAGCGGTGTGGACTTGTTGAGCCGAATGGCCTGTTTTCACACTGTAGGGATTCTATGAAAAAGCTTTCCAACTTGTCCATGCTCCCCATCAACCTGAATTTTCTTTCGTTTTTTAAGTCTAATTACTTTTACAAAGTTGCTGCTAAATCTGCTTCTACTACACTTTCTGGCACTATACTCGGATCATAGGGTGATGTGAATCTGTGTTTTAACCTGTGATTAATATCTGTACATCTTGTTTCTTCCACTACAGCTGCTTTCTACAGAAAGAAAATATTTGGTACTTCTCTGGACCTGTGCTTCTGATAATTCTGGTAACCCCTAAATCCTTGTTTCAATCTTTACTACTTTGATATCGTCCTCTCTCATCTTTCCCATCACAAATAAGTTGAACATGAATACAGCTATCAGTCTGCCATTTCCCCTATTGGTATTCAGTAGTGGATTGCTTTCCTGCCTCTGAGTGCAGAGGCCGTGGGCTCAAATCCTACTTCAAGACCTGAGTCCATATCTCAAGGTTTTGAGGGAATGCTCCATTGTTGGAAATGCTGTCTTTCAAATGAGATATTAAACCAAGGCTATCTCAGGTGGGTGTAAAATATCCTGTGGTTTCATCTCAAAGAGTAGCAGTGGACTTATATCTGGTATCCTACCTACAGTTACCCCTTTAGCCAGTGCTAGTAAAACTGATTATTGTTATGGTCTTTGCTGTGTGAAAATTGGTTGCTGTGTTTCTTACAATTCAATAGTGACTACAGTTCAAAAGTACTTCATTCTCTGCAAAACATTTTAGATGGCCCTGAGATTATGGAAGGTGCTATATAAATGCAAATCTTGCTTTCATTTCTATTAAGCTATGGGTATCATACTATTTCACTGCCCATCATAAACAAGTCTAACTTTCTGGGGATAATGGGCATCTCACATTATATGCACAAAAGGACTCATTTGTAGGGCTGTAAATGACTCAATGTTTGATCCAGACAGGCAGGGGAGGCAGGAGAGTGCTGATTCAGTCAATCTTGAATATAATAGAGGCATGGATCGCCGGTAAAAGCAGTGATTTGGTAGCAGGATGGTGATGCGGACCTTAACAATGAGAAATGGACTGAATGTAAGGTGAAAAAGTCAGCTCAGAGTGAAACATTATTTATGAAATAAGATGCATTCTAAGGAGATAGCTGGGCGGAAATTGATGAAGGACAGCCAGAAGCACAGAGATAATAGGAGACAAAATGACGGATTTGGAACATGGTAGGGTTGAGTTGGGGGAAAAATTTGACTCAACTAACTCTTAAAATCAGATGGCAGAAATTTTTTTTTGAGACAATGCTGAGGGGGAAGGGGGCGGAGTTTGCTGTCATTGATGTGACCCCTTTCTTGGTGATGACACCCAAGAGGCAGCGTGTAAATGGTGACCTGTAGGAAATAAGGATGGTTTCCTAAAACACACATTACTGAAAAGCATTGGTGAGGATCTATTATTTCTTGGTCGAATTCACAAATTAGTCTTTGGGTTGTCCATTCCATACAGAGCACTTGGTTCTGCAGTAGCCATGGTCATTATGCTACTATACTCGTAATCCTTAAACCTGGCCTAGCCACCCTGGAGACATGAATTCAAATCCCAACACAACAACAACTGGGGAATAAGATTTCAATTCATTAACTAAATCTGGAATAAAAAAAAAAGTAACCATGACCATGAAACCACTGAATTGTTGTAAAAGTCCATCTGATTTGCTAATGTCACAAAACGGAAGTTGATTTGCCATCTTACCAGATCTGAAAGACACGCATCACAAGACCCACAACAATACAGTTATCTGAAAGGCCTGCAAACCACTCAGTTTTATTCAAGTAGGTGGTTCATCACACTCCTCTCAAGAGCAGTTCAGAACGGACAATAAATAAATAAATGAAGTGAATTCCTTATTTCATGAATGAATAAAAGAAAAACAATTTTTACACAGTAGGAAACCATGTAAAACTAAATACATATTCATTTCAAAATTGTTCTATTAGGCATGCTGAGTAGTTATAATAATTTTCACCTGCACTCTAGGGTGTTTCACATGCCATCTTGCTTATGTTTTATATACTTTGGAAAAGCTGACTCATTATGTTAAGCTCCAGATATTGCAATTGTTCTGCAGGTTAATATTATCCTGTTCAGTAGAACACTCTGGATACTGACTGAGCAGATTTCTAAACGCAACACTGAAATATCAAAAATCAAAGATTCCAGGTGAGTGTTGAGTTGCATTAACAAAATTGTCCCAACTCAAAAAGAAAATGCATCTAAGGAGGTTCAATGGGCAATATTGCAAATCAGCTGTCTGTTTTACACGCCACTCACTTTCTTTTCCAAAAAGCATGTCTTGGAAAGTTTCCAGTATTAAAGCCTTACTTGATTCACATTGATTTTTCCATGAAATGTTAAATGTCCTCTTTATAAGAACCATACACCACAGGAAGCTATTTGGGCCATCATGCTCAAGTTGGATATTTGTAAATGCTATCCAGTTTGTTCCTGTGCAGCCATTTCCCCATAGCCCTGTACTTTTTTCCCTTAAGTGTTCATCCAGTTCTCTTTCAGAGGTTACTGTTGAATACGTTTCCACTACCCTTTGGGGCAGGGAATTCCGCATCATTGCAGCGTGCTGCATTTAAAGACATTCTACTTGTCTTTAGATTGGCTTACATTTGCCAGTTATATTAAAACTGTTACTTCTGGTTGGTAACCCTCTAGTTCCCAATCCTTCTGTCAGAATTTCACGTTACAGAAAAAAACAACTTACTTGAAACTTCTGTCATCAGTAACAGCATGACATTAAAGGGTGGTAAATAAAAGGAGGATTCGAGTGGTGGGGCTTACAGATTTATGAAGCTGAAATTGTTCACATTTAATGGCTTGAGCAAAATTCATCAGCATTCTTTATTTAATACAATTTTGTTACAACAAAATGATTTTGTTTCCTTTTGATTAATTACAGAATGCTGACATTTAAAATACTTCTTCAGCTAGTTATTTTGGGATGCCCCTGGAGTATTGGATTCTTTGCTGAGGAAGATTCCAGTGGAATATTGGAATACATATTCATTACAACTGTACCTCTCCAAGGCTTCCTAATTTTTCTTATCCTGTGTGCTTTCAGTGCTGAGGTATGGCATACGATACTGTGGGAACTGTATGTGACAGTGTAATGTTAAACTAAATTCATACAAAATTTTGCTTAAAGCACACTCAGAATACTTTTATGCAAAGTTTGCATAGTTTGGGTCTCCATTTTACAAAAACGATATAGTGACATAGAGAAAAGTATTCATAAGGATGATACCACATCTGAGAGTTTAAAAGCTAGAACTGCTTTCTCTAGAAGACTGAGAGACAATTTTATGGAGATTTTTAAAATTATGAAGGGGTTTGGCCATACATATGTGAAATGAGGGAGGGCATCATGAGGGCATAAATAGCAGAGCGTGGGCACAGTTGGTTAGATAGAGAGAAGACCAAGAGTTCAAGGAATACTATCTTAACAATGTGACAGTATTCTTACAGCCTGGTATATTTCAGATTACTATATATACATATTGGATACGTACATACAGTAGTAACATGCAATAAACAGAGGTCTCAACAAGCCGAAGCATGAAGACAGTTGTTGATCTTGTTTTCTCCTCAACCAGTCTGTCTTGAACTCAACATCTTAGATGTGGGCATAAAACTGCAAGACAGAAAAGGGGGTTGGAGGCAATGTTTATTTTTCTGATTCTAGGCAATCCCCAATGAAGCTTTAGTTTAAAGCTAGCTATAGTTGTCAGGGAGATGGTAGCTCACTGGACCAGAATCCAGCCGAATGGTCAGAGTTCAAAACCTACCACAGCAATTCAAATTCAATTAATAAAAATTAGAATTGAAAGCTAGTCTCAGCAATTGTAACCAAGATCATTTAAAAGTCCACCTGGGTCAGTAATGCTCTTTAGGAGAGGAAATATGTGGTCTTGCCTGGCCTGACTTACATGTGACTCCAAATCTACACCAGTACCATCTGAAATGGCCCTAACAAGCCACTCAGTTCAATACCAATTAGGGAGGGCAACAAATGTTTGCTGTCCAGCAAGAGCTACATCTCATGAAAATTACTTTTTCTGCAATTATTTGATGTTGGCTGTTATGGACCAGTCCAAACTCCCTTAAAATATATTAAGAAGATAACTTAGATCCCAACTTCTCCTATTTTCAAAGGTAAGTGTAAGGCTGTGTGTTCTGGATGTAATTTGATTGGTCAAGCTATCAGGCTTGAAGCAAAACACACCTTATTCTTACACTATGGTTAAAATATAAACAAAAGAAAGAATTGGAATAACCTAACTCCACTGGAAAACTTAACAGAATAATAGATTATTTAACTACCAAACAACACTGTTCCAATATAGTCACATTCCATAAAGACACCCTTGGCAAAGGCAAATTCATTCTCAACCTCCCTTCCTAAACTAAACCAGGACAAAATTTGCCTCTTAAAGAAATAGTGTCATCACAGCCAACATGTATCTGAAACAGGAAATGTTTTATTCCTATAGCATCCTTCCAATTTGAAGAGCAGGAGGAAAGGCAATAAAGAAAACATAATTTCCAAGTCAGACAAATACAATTTGTGAGCAAGGTGAAAATTTCAAGATATGTGAAGTTTATAAAATAATGAAGGGTATGGATTGAGTTCATTGTAGTTGTCTTTTCCCTAGAATGGGAGATTTCAAGACTAGGGGCACATTTTTAAGGTGAGAAGAGAGAGATTTAAAAAAGACATGAGAAGCAAATTTTTTACACAGAGGCTGGGTTGCGTGCGGAATCAACTTCCTGAGGAAGTAGTGGATGTCGGTACAATTACAACATGTAAAAGAAATTTGGATGAGTAAATGTATAGGAAAGGTTTGGAGTGATATGGGCCAGGAGTAAGCAGGTGGGACTGGTTTACTTTGGGATTATGTTCGGCATGGATTGTTTGGACCATAGGGTCTGTTTCCGGTCTGTATGACACTATGTCTCTAGGATGCTATGTCTCTAGTCAGCATTCATCGCATTTTTTTGAAATCTCTCTATGATCTTCTTTCTCAAAGGTGAGGGAAGAATGTAGGAAATGGTTTCTAGGAGTGATGCAAAAGCACAACATATCCAACTCAACACTTTATTCTGGCACCACCTAATCCAATCAATCGGTCACGTGGGTAAGTCTGCAGGTTCCAGTTTCCGCAGTTGAACAGCAAGTTAAATGTTTCACACATCCATAAGGGTTTTTCCTTAAACCTAGGTAATTATCAACAAGGTAGATTTTATATGTTGTAGAACAAAGACACATTGTCCACATATTGCAATCTTGCACCAAGATCCTAGAGGCAGCAACAATTTGGGATGCTGAAGAGACCCTATTGTCCCTTATCCTACTTGTTGTGGAATGCTATCTGCTGCTACCTCCACGTCTGTGAGATCAAGCAGACCGATCGAGTCAGAATGATTTTTTTCTTTTCTCTCCCAGGGTGAAGCCAAAATATAGGCTGAAGAAACATGAACTACAAGATTTACATTTCTTCCAGAATTTCACTTGTTTTAACCCAGTATCAAGAACATTCCAAGTTCTTTGAAGAATATATATTTCGAAGTGTTTGTTCATCAGTTTATTGTGTCAACAATATTATTGCTGGGGTCTACTCTTCTGATGAAGATAGAAGGGAAAGGTATGATTTTCTTTTCCATTAGCTATCAACAACGTGTAGATAACACCAAGATGAGATTTATTTCCTGTTCCAATGATATGTTAAGAACAAATCACGATTCTACGTTTTATATATTAAAAAGACATTTTGTCAGGATTCATCTTTCTCTGATTCTCCTTTTTAAGCAAAAAATTCGACTTGAGAAATCACCTACGTACAGCAGGAAAGGCAATTCACCAAGTCACTATTACCAAGACACCTGTATTTTGGTGTGTATTTTTTAATGGATAGATGAATTTGATTATATTGCATTTATGCTCTCTAGGTTTTCATACTTCAATTCTTTATGTTCTTCTGACTGTAAATAAATAAAAATGTATAGTTTAGCTTGCACTTTGTGTTTTGATGGCAAGTTATTTCTTCATCTTCTGATTGGTGTGACATGTCAGTGGGCAATCCATATGTAGTCCAATGACTGATGCAGGGTTGAGCCTAGACTAAATAAAAACCAGAAGAACTGTGGATGTTGTAAATTAGAAATTGCAGGAAAAGCTCAGCAGGTCTGGCAGCATCTGTGGAGAGAGATCAGAGTGAATATTTCATGTCAAGGGACTCTTCCTCAAAGCCAACCCATCAACTCTGAAGAAGGGTCTAGACCTGAAACATCAGCTTTCCTGCTCCTCTGATGCTGCTTGGCCTGCTGTGTTCATCCAGCTCTACATCTTGTTATCTCTCTCTCTCAAGCCATCAACTCTGATTTTTCTCCACAGATGTTGTCAGACCTGCTGAGCTTTTCCAGTGATTTCTGTTTTTGTTTGTGTTCAGTCTAGACTAATCTCACCAATACCTTTAGCAAAATAAAGATCGAGCTGATTAGTGGTTCTAGCTGCTTATGGCACCTGTAATCTGGTCACGAAAATTAAAGAAGTTTTGGAAATAACCCTAAACACAGCAGTATGTAAAATAATGTCATTCATATTTATTTTGACATCCAGAAATGACACACAGTTGATACAGTCAGTTGCTTTGGGGTGCGAAGGGAAAGGCGCATCATCAAATTATTAAAACTTAGGGGAGAAGGAAGCCATTCAATTCTTCAAGCCTGTTCTGTGCAACTCATTCAATTACCGCTAATCTATCAGTTAATTCCATTTACCTGACCTTGGTTCTACAACTTTGACTGCTCTTGCCAAACATAAACATCTCAAACGACTTCATAAAATGAACTAGGAAAGTTTGTAGCAAATATCACAATACATTACCAATGGTTTATTTGGGTTGGTGATGATGGTGATCACAGCTTGTAATGAATGATATGATCCTGAAAAATTGTTTTCTCTCAAACAGAGTCTGGTGTAAGAATAGATTCTAAGACATGTCTGGAATGACCTGCAAACAGTTGTTTACTCTTCCAAGATCATCCTTTTTCCTCACTGCCTCGGGAGTCACAATTCATCCTGAAATCTGAACACTTCAAAACTTCTTTTGAGTTTGATCACTGTGATGATCCATTTTCTTAGTAAATTTCCATCCTCAGAGTCCCTGATAGATCCAGAGTCCAATACAAGATATACTAGAGCACTTTTATCACACTCCTCTACACTAAACACTCCAGCAGAATAATCATTTCTGTTGAACTGATTGTCTAGGTCTTCGTTCCTCTCCAATCTTCCAATTTCTCAATCTCTCTGCCCTTTGAAAGGCCTCTGACCAAGTTTCCTCTCTTCACACTACTAATCTTTGCTCTAATCTTGGTTAGTTCCTGTGTTGAGATAGACTTTTGCTCTTTTGTTCTACATGTTCTCCAGTTCGTTCAGGGCTATGATGCTCTTCTGGAAGAGTAGATTCCACTGAACTATTACCTCTGACAGGAAAGGGGACAAGTTATACCAATTGGAGATGTCCTTTACCTTTATTTCAGTTCTTATGTCCCTTCACACATCATCCCCTGTGCAATTTAGCTTTTGGCACTCCACCTGATCTCAAATCCTCCCTTCTGATTTTTTGCCCCTCTCTGCTTGTTTAAAATCTGTTGCACCTCTACACTGTGCTACAGAAATAAAGTGCTGTCTAGTATTGACTACAATACAAACTGCATATGCGTCCAGCAGTAACTATGCTTGAAAAGTGGAGTTATTTCTTTGGTTGAAAAGTGCTTTGGGACTTTTTGGAAGCTGTGAGCAATTCAAGGTAATTGCATTTCCTTTTTATATTGGTCTTTTGTTCAAGAACACATTCACAATGTAAAGGCTGAACTGTGAGTGACTTAACATTAATATCACATATTGCCAAATAAACTGAACCATAACAGTTATTTCTATGGAACAGCCTGAAACATGGGCAAGGAAACCTCCTGCTGAATACCACGTACCATTCTCTTCAGCTGATAAATTAGTACTCCTCCAGGTTGAACAACACTTGGAGGAAGCACTGAAGCTGGCAAGAGTGCAAAATATACTCTGGGTGGGGATTTCAATGTCCACCACCAAGAGTGGGTCAGCAGCTGCACTACTAATCGGGTCCTAAAGGACATAGCTGGGTCTGCAGAAGATGGTGATGGAACCAACAAGAGGAAAAAAACATACCTGACCTCATCCTTACCAATCTGCTGGCTGCAGATGCATCTATCCATGACAGTATCAGTAGTAAGTGACCACTGCACAGTCTTTGTGGAGCCGAAGTGCTGTCTTCACATTGAGAATACCCTCCATCATTTTGTCTGCCACAATCACTGTCCTAAATGGGACAGACTTCAAACAGATCTAGCAACTCCAGACTGGACAACCATGAGGGGTTATGGGCCATCAACAGCAACAGAATTGTACTCCAGCATGGATCTGCAACCTCATTGGACAGGCATATCTCCCACTCAATTATACTACCAAGCCAGGGGATCAAACCTGATTCAATGAAGGCTGCAGGAGGCATGCCAGTAGCAGCACCAGACACACCTAAAAATGAGATGGCAACCTGGTGAAGCAATCAAAAAGGGCTAACTTGCAAGCCAAAATCACGTAAACAGGAAGTGATGGGCAAAGCTAAATGATCCCACAACCAAAATATCAGATCTATGCTTTGCATTCGTGCCACATTCAATTGGGAATGGTGGTGGACAATTAAACAACTCACTGGAAGAGGAGGCTCCACAAATATCCCCTTTCTCAGTGACGGAAGAGCCCAACACATCAATGCAAAATATAAAGCTGAAGCATTTGCAGCAACATTCAGCCAGATGTGCCAAGTGGATGATCCACCTTGGCCTCCTCCAGTGGTCCCCAGCATCACAGACACTCGTCTTCCACCAATTCGATTCATATTAAGTAACAGTGACAACTGTACTGAAGACTTCTGCTCCAGAACTTGCCACTCTCCGAGCCAAGCTCTTCCAGTATTGTTACTGGCCTCTATCCGACAATGTGGAAACTTTCCCAGCTATGTCCTGTACACAAAAAGCAGGAAGAATCTAACCCAGCCAATTATTGCCCCATCAGTCTATTCTCAATCATCAGTAAAGTGATGGAAGGTGTCATCAACAGTGCTATCAAGCAGCACCTGCTCACTGATGCCCTGTTTGAGTTCTGCCAGAGCGACTCAACCCCTGACATCATAACTGCCTTGGTTCAAACATGAACAAAAGAGCTGAATTCCAGAAGTGAGGTGGGAGTGACAGCTCTTGACATTAAGCGCATTTGACCGAGTATGACATTAAGGAGCCCCACCAAAACTGGAGACAATAAGTATAAGGGGAAAACTCTCCACTGGTTGGAGCCATAGTTGGCAATAAAGGAAGATGATCGTGGTTGTTGGAGGTCAATCATCTCAGCTCTACCACAGTCATACAGGAAGGAGTTCGTCAGGGTCATGTCCTAGGCCCAACTTTCTTCTGTCGCTTCATCAATGACTTTTCTTCCATCATAAGGTCATAAGTGGGAATGTTTACCACTGATTGCACAATGTTCAGTACTATTCGCAACTCCTCAGATACTAAAGCAGTCCATGTTCAAATGCAACATGATCTGGACAATATCCAGACTTAGGCTGACAAGCGGCAAAAAACGCTTCACACAAATGCCAGGCAATGATGATCACCAATAACAGACAATCTAACCACCACCTCTTGTCATTCAAAGGTATTATCTTTAGTGAATTCCCTACAATTGATTGATTGATTTATTGTCGCGTGTATCAAATACAGTGAAAAGCTTTGTTTACGAGCTATACAGGCAGATCACAGTAAGTAAGGATGTACAGATCAAAAAAAAACTTAGACACAGACATCCGGGTTACACTGCACAGGGCATGTGCTGGGCAAGGTCAACGTTAGCACGATCAGCATTATTTGAGGTTAGAGACTCCATTCATCAGTCTGGGAAGAAGCTGTTCTTGAACCTGCTAGGACGTGTATTAAGGCTTCTGTATCTTCTGCCTGATGGAAGAGGTTGTACGAGATCATTACTGGGGTGCGATGGGTCCTAACGCGGTAGCGAGCCATGTAAATGGAGTCCATGGAAGGAAGATTGGCTTCTGTGATGGTTTGGGCTGTGCATTCTTACAATCCTGAGCAGGGCAGTTGCAATACCACGCCGTTATGCACCCAGACAGCATGCTTTCAATTGTGCATCTGTAGAATTTGCTGAGGGACCTTTTGGACATGCCAAATTTCCTGAGCCATCTGAGAAGAGGCATTGTTATGCCTTCTTGACCATCACATCTGTCTGGGATGTCTAGGACAACTTGACGCTCTCCACCTTCTCAACCTCGGTTCCAATGACATAGATGGGGGTGAGTTCTCCTCCTTTCTTTCTGAAGTCAGTGATCAGTTCTTCGGTTTAGCTGCATTGAGAAAGGTTGGTCTCATTGCACTGCGTCACCAAGCCCTCTATCTCCCTTTTGTATTTTGACTTGTTGTTGTTAGATATCCATCCTACCATGATGGTGTTGTCAGCGAACTTGCAGACACTGTTCGTTTGGAATTTGGCAACACAGTCATAGATGTAGAGTACATTAAAGGGCTGAGGATGCATCCTTGAGGGCTCCAGTGTTGAGTGTTATTGTGAAGGATGAGCAGTTACCTATTTTCACTGATTGTGGTCTGTGGTTCAGAAAGCTGAGGATCCAGTTGCAGAAGGCGGAGCTAAGACTGGGGTCACAGATTTTTAAGATCAGTCTGGAGGGGAAAATGGTGTTGAAAGCAGAGTTGTAGTCAATGAGCAGGAGTCTAACGTAGGTGTCCTTGTTGTTCAGATGTTCCAAAGTTGAGTACAGGGCTAGGGATATGGCATCTGCTGTGGCCTAGTTACGTCAGTAGGCAAATTGTAGGGGATTGAGGCAGGGTGGGAGACTGGAGTTGATGTCGGCCATGACTAGCATCTTGAAGCACTTCATGATTATTGAGGTCAGAGCCACTGGGTGGCCACTATTAACATACTTGGGGTTACCATTGACTAGAAACTCAACATGCCACATAAACGCAGTGACTACAGGAGGTGGTCAGAAGCAAGGAATACTGCAGTAATTAACTTATCTTCTGAGTCCTTAAATTCTGTCCACCATCAACAGGGTACAAGTCAGGAGTATGATGGAATACTTCCGTTTGTCTGGATATGTGCAATTCCAACAACACTGAAGAAGCTTGTCACCATCCAGGACAAAGCAGCTCACTTGATTGACATCACACCAAAAGCATCCACTCCCTCCACCACCAACACTTGGTAGCAGAAGTGTGCACTATCTGCAAGCTGCACTGAAGAAATTCACCAAAGATCCTTAACAGCACCTTCAAACCCACGACCATTTCCATCTTCAAGGGCAAGAACTGCAGATACAATGGGTACACCACCACCTGCAAGTTCAGCTCCAACACACTTATCACCCTGACTTGGAAATACATTTCACTGTCACTGGGTCAAAATCCTGGAATTCCCTCCCTGAGGACATTGTGGATCAACCTTTAGCATGTGGACTGCAGCAATTCAAGAAGGCAACTCACCACAACCTTCTCAAGGGTAACTTGGAGCAGGCAATAAATACTGGCCAGCCAGCAAAATACATACCCCATAAAGATGTTTACTAGTGGTTATTGGTTCAATGTGTAGCATGAATACAAGTCTGTACATTCTGGTTCCACTCCAAAGAAGTGAAGACAAACACTCAGTGCAGGACCAAGATTATACTGTAGTATTGTCATCTTTGGAAGTTGGTATTAAACTAAATCCCAAATTCTTCTTAGTTAGGCATAAAAGATCTTATGCACTAATTTGAAGTATTCTGTCTCTGGTGTCCTGTCCAATTTTTATCTTTGAACCAAAGTAAGTAAAACAGGTTACCTAGTCATTGTTTCACTGCTGTTTGTAGGAGCTTGCTGTGTGCAAACTGACTGCCATGTTTTCCACATTACAACAGAGACATTTCAATTTGGCTATGAAACCCTTTAGTACACTCTGAGATCAGGAAAGTTGCTTTGTAAATGCAAATCTTTTGCTCCTTTAGAAGGAACAATCATATAAAGATACTTGTACCCTCAAAAATTGATTATGGTTGAAGAGTGATACTCTATTGCAGTGTCCCCATTTTTTGAACTCCACGACTGACTTCCCACCTTTGTTGATGGGATGGGTGGCGGGTCTCAGAAAACTGCCTGGTGATTTCAAAGTGTATATTCAGCTCATCACCTACGACAAGAGGGAAAATCCCCAAGTCAGTTTTCATAAGTTTTTAACTGGAAGATTTGACATAAAATTTTAACATTTTAGGTACAAAACTGGCATTTATTTCAAATAAGTTGTACATTTCCCAATGCAAACAAGTCATTAATTTCCACAGGGCTCCATATCAGCTGCCTGTATTTAGCATCTACAATAGAGCTACAATCATGAAACAATGTTCAACACCAAATTAATGATCAAAGCTCTTAGTGCATTGAGTTTGTAGATCAATCCCTATTGGCACCAGTCTATTACACAGGTTCACTCTAAAACTTTCAGGGCTGTGTACTTAGAATTGAATCCAAGTCCAGGTAATAGCTTGGCAGGAATTGGAAAGAACTCTGTTTCTACTCCCTAGCCACATTATCAACTTTGCAGAGTGATCCAGACAGCAGATGAGCACAGAACGCCAGCATGCACTGGTGATTTATCCTGCTCATATGCAACAAGCTTAACATCTAGCCAACACTTTGAATGTAACATGAACATGGGGAAGTAGCTGCACCAACGCTAAAAACTGGTGAACTCTGTGGTCCTCTACTCTGGCCTCTTACGTATTCCCCCTTTCCTTCATCCTTAAAAATCTCTTATTTCTCTCATTTAAGACTCTCTTTTGAACATACCTCTTTGATCAAGCTTTCAGTCACCTGTCCCATTCTCTCCTTAAATGGCAACAACCTTGTGCTTTTTGTTTCAATAAAAGCTATTCATAAAGACTGTTGCTGGTTGCAGTGCTGGCTACATTTGTGATGAGAAATTTTCTGAACTCCTTAAACATTCACTCTCTCCACTTCTAGTATGTTGTGGACTTCTGATGGAAACAGGGCAGATTACCTGGAGCATACGTCTTTTGCAATTGGACAATTGGACTTTTGATTAGCGTTAACTTCTCAGAAAGAAGGTATCAAAACAGATTCTTGAGAGTAAAGAAAACACATTATGGATAGGAGAGAACTTCTCGAGCTGGAATGAAGTTGGCTCCAACCCATCATTTTGATTATCTCAAAAAAACTGAAGAGAAAAGAAGAAACCACAACTTTCAACTCTTGCCTAGAAGGTGAAGAGCCCCCTGATAGCTCAGCCAACTCAAGGATGGATTAAAAACAGAAGTTGCTGGAAAAGTTCAGCAAGTCTGGCAGCATCTGTGAAGAAAAACAGAGCTAACTTTTCATGTCTCGTGACCCTTCCCCGTTCTGGGAAAATGGAGTAAATGTTAATTTTTTTTGTTGGTGCCAGTAACAAAAGCCACAGACTGCAAAACAGGAAAAGAATGAGTAATAGTAGTGGGAAAGAGAGAACCAAAAGAGAGGTAGAGACAGAGCAATGGACAGACAGGACAGAAAGAACAAACATAGAAAGGAAAGACAAAAGATTTTTTTTTAAAATCAGGAATTTCAGCATGTGCATGACCACCATAGTGCATCAGTTGTCTATATTTCTCTCAGCCTCCAAGGCTGCTGGTGTAACTTTAACCACAATGATGTTATTAGAGTATGGAGTTCCAGTGACAGTGAATGGATGATGTGCGACTCGAAGGAGAACTAGCAAGTTGTGATATCTCTGCATGCTAGCTGCATTTGTCCTTACAGATGAAAGGTGTTGTCAAAGGAGTCTTGTCGATGGCACACACTGCTGCCACAACTACTGCAAGTGGAGAGAGTGGATGTTTAAGGTGATGAATGGGGTCCCAATCAAGTTGGCTATTTGCTCCTGGATGCTATTGAATTTCTTGGGTCTTGTTGGAGCTGCAATCACTCAAGCATGTGTACAGTATTCCCACCACACACGTGACTTCTGCCTTGTAGATGGGAGGCAGAGTTTGCAAATTCAGGAAATGAGTTATTACCTGCAGAATTCCCAGTCTCTGACTTGGTCTTGTATCTACAACTGTTACATGGTTTATTCAATTAGGTACTGGACGACAGTGAGCCCCAGATGTTAATGATGGGGGAATTCAGCAATGATAAGCTGCTGAATGTCAAAGGTTGATGGTTGGATTCTCTTTTGTTGGAGATGGTAATTGCCTGGCACTTGTGGCACAAACACTGCCCACAAATATCCCTCACAAGAGGAAAGAAAAAGTGTTGTTTGAGAAGTTACAGATGAAGGTAGAGTTTATAACACGCTCTCTCTGTATTCAATTGCCTGTTCCACAGTCTGTTATGACCACACTGGAGTCAGCAGACCCTGAGTTCAAGTCCATCTCTGGAAATGTGAACAATTGTATGGGGTGGTGCTTGTGTATAGTGCTACTCAGTTGGAAATGATTTTATTTTGAATGAAATATCAAACCAAGTGCCGATCTCCTGCCACTTTTTGTCCACTTGCTGCAGGGTAAATGTAGATTCATAGAATCCCTACAGTGTGGAAAAAGGCCATTCAGCCCATTGAAGAGCAAGCCCTCCCAGACCCACCGTCCTTCCCTATCCCTATAACCCTGTATTTCCCATGGCTAATCCATCTAACCTACACATTCCTGAACACTATAAGGCAATTTAGCATAGCAAATCCACCTACGCTGCACATCTTTGATCCACAGGAGGAATCCGGAACACCCGGAGGAAACCACACAGACACCGGGTGAATGTGCAAACTCCACACAGGGGCAGTCACCCAAGGGTGGAATCGAACCCGGGTCCCTGGCGCTGTGAGGTAGCTGTGCTAGCTACTAGGCCACCGTGCAATAAGTGATCCCATGGAATTATTCAAATACAGACAGGACAATCATGCTCAGTGTTGTGGCCAATATCTGCCCATCAACTAACATCATCAAACAAATGAAGTGATCATCCCCATTGCTGTTTGAAGGAACTGGCTGTGTATAAATTGGCTGCCATGCTTCTTATGTGCATTGGTAACCACATTTCAGAATGCCCTTTGTTGGCTGTAAAGAGCTTTATAACATCAAATGGTCATGAAAGGTGATATATATTTGCATCTTCCCAGCTTTCCCAACCAACAGCACAACATCTAACTTGCTGAGCAATTCCATCCTAAACAATCTGTAATATCTGTTGGTACAAAACAATTTTTTGTTTTGTTTCCTCTGTACTTTGGAAAGTCATGGATTCCCAAAATGATTTCTACCTGCGACACAGAAAATGTTTGCACGATCACAATAAAACAACAATTACAAAGTTGAAAAGCAGTATAAAAGCTGTGGCTACAGATCAAGTCCAATATCCAACAGTGAAAAAACACACTTACAACTCACATCATCATGTCTCTTCACCTTTCAGTGATCTGATCACACTTAATACCATTTCTGTTTATCAATCATTGAATGAACAAAGCACTGGCCACTGGGTGCTTCATGGTTATCACACTGGTTATCAAGCTATCCAGGCAAGCTATGAGAAACACATAATCCCAGGCTGATTAATTCATCTTTCCTGATGGTTTATCCTACAAGCCACAACCCAACAGCAGACAGCAATGCCAGGAGGGAGTTTGTGTTAATTGACAGCTTATCAAAGGAATGCAGATCACTAGTCCTGGTGAAGTGTGCACCTCTAACAGGTGTCAAGGATCCCCAGGATTGCAATTTCTTTCTTCCCATCACTGAAGCATTTGTCAGTATCCTGCAGCAAGTGTACAAAAATTGGAAGGAGAACATATGATCGCTTGCTATATTTGGGTAATTAGTGTACTTAGTGACTGTGCCATCACAAACCTCAGAATTTGCTGCATTTAACATTCAATTAAGATACTATAAAAATTTCCAGTTACGCATTTATGGTTAGTAATTTTTCCTTTTACGAAAATTGTATACAAATTACATTTGACACACATGTAAAGTTGCATCATGCACATGTGTATGGAATCCGGAGTCTACTTGTTGCTTTCCTTCAAGAACGTCCAGATGAGTTTATTGACTACATCAGGTTGGTCCTGCTGGACCCAGTGACTGGCCCCAGTGACTACCTTCAACCAGAACACATTCTGTACGTATTGCTCCATATAGGCAGTCATGCCAACTTCGAGAGCTCCATCCTTGTCACCCCAGATCACCAAAGTGGGCACCATCACATCATGGCACTTAGCTGGGAGATGGCTGCAACATAAGTAAGCACATTCAGTCAGCAAGGGCTAATCAAACTCTCACCTCTGGGTTAGAAGGAATTGCTTTCATGCTCCACAGGAGAACAAAAGACTAGCAATTTAGCCAAGGCTAATGTTTTCAAAATAAAGGTGTAAATCCCAACACTGATGGAATTTAAATTCAGTTAATAACTGGGGAATTAAAATCCCTTCTCAATAAATGATAGCCACAACAAATATCAGCAATTGCCATAAAAACCCATTTAGTTCACTTATGTCCTGAACAGAAGGAAATCTGCCATCCATGCTTGATCTGGCCTACATGTGATTCCAGACTCTCAGAAATGCGTGAACTGGACAACGAGACAGCCCTAGCATGCCACTCAGTTCAAGGGAAATCAGGGCTGAGCAACAAATACTAGCATTGCCAGAATATCCCATGATAGAATAAAAGAAAAGAAAAATTAAGAATGATCCACATAATATCAGGATAGGTGACAAAACATGATCAAAGAGATTAAGCCATGAGTTTTATTTATTTATTCTTTCATGGGATGAGGGTGTCATTGACTGGGCAGCATTCATTGCCCATCCCTAATTGCTCAGAGGGCAGTTCAGAGTCAACCACATTGCTGTGGGTCTGCAGTCACATGTGGGCCAGACTAGGTAAGGATGGCAGTTTCCTTTCCTAAAGGACATTAGTGAACCAGATGGGTTTTTCCTGACAATTGACAATTAACAATTAGATTGTTAATTCCAGATTTTTTTTATTGAATTCAAAGTCCACCATCTGCCATGGCGGGATTTGAACCTGGGTCCCCAGAACGGTATCTGCGTCTCTGGATTAACAGTCCAGAGATAATACAACTAGGCCATTGCCTCCCCATGATGCACAGATGCCAGTGTTGGACTGGGGTGCACAAAGTCAGAAGTCACATGACACCACGTTATAGTCCAAGTGACTTCACCTTACAAAAGGAGCTGTACTGCGAAAGCTTGCAATTTGTAATAAACCTGTTGGACTATAACCTGGTGTTGTGTGACTTCTGACGAAGAGATAAAGGAAGAGAAGCAAAGAGGCAAGCAGTTTAGAGTATCAGAGACAAAGATTTGACATGTAACAGGAATGTGCAGTTAAACCATGCAGCAGTTGAAAGGATTTTAAAAAGAGTAGCCTTTTTTGCCCCATGAGTAAAGTAACAATTACTTTCATTAAAAAGCATTTTCTACAACTGTGTAAGAAAGTGAATCATTAACCATCAGTTGTTGTCATTCAACTTGTACCGTTGAACACTGCTATACTTTCCTAAGGCAGGCAATTCCTTTGGCCATTAACTCCTTTCCTACCCTCTGTTCTGCCTACATAATGACTGCACTAAGACCTTATTTTCCTCTCAAGTGGTCAATATTTAGCCTTCACCCCCACAACTGAAACAGAAGATAACTAATTTTGAGGTTAATTGTCGATGCTTGCCATGCTTTTATGCGATGCACTTCGTTGATCGTGAAGCACTGTAGGACATCCAAGTTTGTGAAACGAACTAAAACAAAAGGGAGGAGGTAAAATTTAAGTATGGAAAAGCAGGTGTTATGCCCTCCTCAAGTGGTGTTTTCCACTACTCCTATATTTGCTTCTCATTGAGGTCTCCTGCCCTCTGAACCCAGATACTCCTGCAACTGCACAGCTCACACTGAAAGTTCAATTTGCCATGCTACATTGTGGAGAGTTAACTGTTATTATGTGAACCATCACAACTTTTGATAATTATCTGAAAAAGCCACAAATCCTGGGCTTTTCATAGAATAGAATAATAGAATAGAATTTCTTTCTGTCCCTAGGCCCAGCCAATTAAACTATCACTCAGGAAGTCACTAATACATACGTAAGCAGTTGGATTATCAAAACTAATACTCTATATTGCCAATCATTATAAAAAGCAATACCTGATTGCTTATTCAATGATTCCTAAAGCATGTGTGGAATGGATAAGTCTGGGCTATGACCTTCATTCCCATGCCCTACACCTTTCACAATCCCAGTAACCTACGGAAAACTGCAGTAATTCCTATGCGCGGACTAACTCCTAAACAAATGTGAGACATGAACAGCATCTGGCTTGAATTTGCCACTGTAGGCCAACATGCATCACTGCAATCGGAAGGTTGTAGCTGTTTTCCAGGCCAACCACAGTCAGGCCCTTGAACTGCTACTGTGCAGTACAGGTTTCCAAAGCTCACTGAGAGCCTCCAGTGGTACAAACCAGGTTCTGCAGCAGGTGCAAGTTGAAAATCCATTTGAATTTTAATAAAAGCTAAAAATGTTTCATTGCACTTTAAAGCATAGAAACAGCCCGTTCTCCCGACTGACTGTATGCTCAGAATAAGCTTCTTTCATTGTATCCCCACATAGCCTTCAATTCCTTTTCCGTTCAGGTGTTTATCTAATTTCCCTCTTCAACGTTACTCACCTCAACTAATCCCTGTGATAGTACTTTCCACAGTCTTACCACTCTTTAGGTAAAGAAATATCTCTTCAGTTCCCTTTTTGACATATCTTTTAATTAAGCCCCTATTTTTGGCCTTATCTGCCACAGAATTATTTTCTCAAAGGCACCCCGATCAATTTACACAATTTAGAAGGCCTCTTTTAGGTAAGGTTATGAATTCCATCTTGGAGTCCACCTTCCATTCATATTGTGTCCTTCAATACCACAGGGTGTCCATTGTCCTTACAGCCAATTAAGTATTTTGAAGTGTAGTCATGGTAAGGTCAGAAATGTGACAACCAATGAAGAAGCATGAATGGCTTTGATAAATAGGAAGAAACCCAATTAGGTTGCATTGCACGTGTGCCTGTTACATAACCACAGGGGGAATGATAATCAGAGGACATAGATTTAAAATCATTGACAAAAGAATTATGGACAAGGAGGAGGATTTTAAGATGATGGTTCTTTCTTTGAATATAGCAAGTTGTACTCATCTGGAACATACTGCCTGAAAGGGCAGTGGAAGCAGTTTCAAACCGACTTTTTGAAAAAGAATTAGATAAGTGCCAGAAAAGGAGAAATCTGCAGACCTATGAGGAAAAAGCTCAAAAGTGAGACAAACTGGGTATCCCTTTCAAAGAGCCAACACAGACACAATGGGTTGAATGGTCCCCTTCTGCACTGTTAGGATTTGTGATTCAATTACATAGCACTCATAGCCCCATCTCCCAACTTCTCTAATCCAGTTGAGTGGGGTAACCACTAGGAGGAGGATAACCTGGTCACTGATTATCATTTAAGATCAAAAACATTCCACCAGTAGAACTTGCTTGGGATGATGTCTTTATTGGAAAGATGTGAAATATCACACCTCTAGAACATTCTGCACCTGAAGACAACAGGAAATAGTCGTGTGATTGGGAGATTCCAAAGAGTGATTATCTCTGTGCTACTGTCACTGCCTTTAATCGCAATCCATGTTTTAAATCCACCTGAATCACCCTAAGTATTACAATGGAGCAATCTGCCCACATACTGGGCAAGCTAATGAGAAGCACATAGAAAACAACATCATTGGGAACCTCTAAAGTGAAAAGGATGGTAAACATTCTATTCAACATCAGACATCTTTCTCTTCAAGCACTTCTCCTTCCTCAAACTTCTCCCCTGGGTCTGTACTTCCTTATAAAGTTTCTTTTAGTTCTGCTTCTCAAACTAAAATGTTAACTTGCCTGCTCTCATCATAAATATAGCCTGGCCGGCTGAATATTCCCAGCATTTTGTTTTTTCCTAATCCACTGGCTGATTATTCAAGAGTTGTGGGGGCATTCAAAATATAACTAAACATTGTGTCGGTAGGACATCTCAGTGGGATAAGTCATTCAGCACTCAAGACTACTTCATCATCCAACTATAAATAGGGCTTATCTGTACCTCAACTCCTTATACATCTTTGACACATATTGCTTGCAAAATTTTAATGATATCATATCGTCCTTGACTACTTTAATCCCTCATTCTATATTATCATTTCGATATAGATAGACTTAGTAATTAGTAAATAAAATAAATGGTTGAGGAACAGGAACAGGAGTAGGTCATTTGGATCCCTGAGCCTGTTCTGCCATCCATTACAATCGTGGCAGATCTGACTGTAACTTCAACTGCACTTTGCTGCCTACCTGTGACAACCTCTAACAACCTTGTCAGTCTAGAACCTAAGACAACAAGGTCTAGAGCTGGATAAACACAGCAGGCCAAGCAGCATCAGAGGAGCAGGAAGGCTGACGTTTCGGGCCTAGACCCTTCTTCAGAAATGGGGGCGGGGAAGGGGATTCTGAAAAAAGTAGGGACAGAGGAGGAGGCGAATAGAAGATGGATAGAGGAGAAGATAGGTGGAGAGGAGACAGACAGGTCAAAGAGGTAGGGATGGAGCCAGTAAAGGTGAGTGTAGGTGGGGAGTTAGGGAGGAGATAGGTCAGTCCAGGGAGGACGGACAGGTCAAGGGGGCGGGATGAGGTTAGTAGGTAGGAGATGGGGGTGGGGCTTGAGGTGGGAGGAGGGGATAGGTGGGAGGAAGGACAGGTTAGGGAGGCAGGGACAAGCTGGGCTGGTTTTGGGATGCGGTTGGGGGAGGGGAGATTTTGAAGCTTGTGAAGACCACATTGATACCATTGGGCTGCAGGGTTCCCAAGCGGAATATGAGGTGCTGTTCCTGCAACCTTCAGGTGGCATCGTTGTGGCACTGCAGGAGGCCCAGGATGGACATGTCGTCTGAGGAATGGGAGGGGGAGTTGGAATGGTTCGCGACTGGGAGGTGCAGTTGTTTAGTGCAAACCGAGCGTAGGTGTCCTGCAAAGCGGTCCCCATGCCTCCGCTTGGTTTCCCCGATGTAGAGGAGGCCACAACGGGAACAGTGGATGCAGTATACCACATAGCAGATGTGCAGGTGAACATCCGCTTGATGTGGAAAGTCTTCTTGGGGCCTGGGATGGGGGTGAGGGGGGAGGTGTTGGGGCAGGTG